CCCCAAAACCCCAAAACCCCGCTGTTCTGAAATTCAAGTATAGAATAATAAAAAGAAAATCAAAAATATATACTACCAAATGATCATTAAATTATCTTAATTTTCTATTGAAATATTAATAGAACAAATCAATAATATGGAAGTTCTAATTCTATTTCTCTTATCTCGTATACATACTTTGTTCCTAATACCTAAGATTTAGCATAATATTGAAGATCTGTTAATTAATATTTACGGGTTTTCTTGATTTATTGTTCTTATGTTTTTAACCTTTTCTAAAATAATCTTGATGGATTAAGCAATTAGCTTTCACATTTAGATTAGATAATGTCTACAAATTATAAATTTCTTATATTTATTAGCCTTAAAAATTCTTTCTCCTTGAAGAAAAGATAAGGATAATTATAGTAATCAAAACCTAATATTGGGTAGATATGAGCTTCCTTAACTTTTACTTATGCAAGCTTGATATTTTTAGTCAAGTCAAATACGACAAGTATCATTGCAGGTTTAAATTCAAATAATGCAGCTATCTTAGAATATTTCAAATTTACTATTTATCAACAAAAGCCAGAGTTCTATATTAATATTTCTTATAGCATTTCAAATTTTTGAAATTCTTGTTCTATTATTTTTACAATACATAGATTAGGGTTAATAGAACCAATTATAAAGGTATACTCTGTTTATGATTATTAAATTAGGCATGCTTCTGTAATTTTATCAAATTCAAGCTGAGAATTATATTAAAAATACTAATCTCATAAGCTAAATATCTAAATGCAACCTGATTCTTAAAATACGATGAAATAATCTACAGTCATCTATATTATTTTACTAATGCTACTATTGCATTAATACATAACACCATTTCTTAATTCAAGGGCACCTTCATTAAACCCTTAAATAGCATATAAAATTTAGTCATCAATAGAAAAGAGAATTTAATCAGCTTAAGAATGGCATTTTACGGCTATAAAGTTACAGCTATTAGATTTTATGAAATTCTAATCAATTATCCTTAATTAATTTTTTATACCACTTAAAACTATTTTATTTCCGACTTAAATCATTCCAACATAATTATCTTGATTGAAGTCTTCTTCTATGTAGCTTCTTTGTAATTTTACCTAAAATTTATGATATAACAAATTGTATGTTGGTTTTTAAATCTAAATACTAAACTTCTAAAGTTATAAATTTTTTTCTTCTTGCTTAAACTCTTGCCTAATTTATTTCAGTTTAAGTATCTTTTAATCAATAGCTTTCAAGTTATATTAAAAATTCTAATCTTATTCCAATTTGGCTATGCTACTTTCACACGATTAGAGATAAGTAGCAAGCGAAATTTCACTCACCAACAAAGTTTTTTGCAGAGAATCGAATTTATATTATAAAATTTCCTTAATTTTACCCTTGTAATCAGGAGAATTACCTATAATTTTAAGAAAATATTCTTTTAGCTACGAAATAATTGGTCATTATTTTGAATCTAATGAGAGTATTATATTTAACATTTCTTGGAAAATATTGTATTGCTCAGGTAAGTCAATGTTTTAACCTGTTATATTTTTGGCAAAGTGTAAAGGTATGTCATTAATCTAGGACTCCCCTGTACAGAGAAAATATAAAATAACTCCAAGAGACCATATATCAATAGTTTTATCATAATTTTTAGTCATTTAATACATCTCTGGAGCCATGTAATTACTTTTTCCTCCTGAAATTTAAGTATTGTCACCGTAAGTAGCAATTCCAAAATCACATATTTTAAAAGTATTGTCATCCATTACAAGTATATTTTATGGGGAAATGTCTCTGTGAATGATATTATTTTAGTGTACATATTCAAGACCACTAATAATATCAAGCATTATAAATGCTATCTGATTAATAGGTAAATTACCTGCACCCTTTTTATTAACGTATTAAAACAAATTTTCCCTTGCCAGTTCACTTACGATAACAAAATTTCCATCATATGAGAAGAAAGATTCATGAACCTATACAATATTTGGATGTGAAAGCTATATACAGAAAATTTCTCTAAACAATCTAAGCATTGATTGTGATAATTGCTTATCATTACAATCGCAAAGTTCGCTTAATTTTTAAACTTTAAGCGCCACTAAACGATCCTATAATCCTGATTCTTAGTTGTTTTTTAAATCTTTTGCTATAAATACCTCCCCGAATCCTCCACCACCAATTTTTTTTATTGTTTAGTAGCACTCTTTAGTTTCCTTAATTTTTAGAGATATAAGTTTTTCCATTTATTTTTATATTATATATATATAT